CTGTATTCGGCACTTCTGACAGAGCACACTGCACTTCCTCAAGGAAGGTCTCATATTCTCCTTCAAATTAGGCGCATAGACTTGCACCAAAGTCATCCATTTAGCCTGTGTAGCTTCAGTCGGAGGATTGCCACCCTTCCGCTGATAGGCTTCCAATCGATTATTCTATCGGCGAGGTTGGGTTCTACCACAACGCCAACACCGGCCTGAGCGCGAGTCGTGATATCGACGGATGAGTAGAACAGCTTCCATCCATTAAGGTTCAGGAGTCCAGGGCCTGGACATTTTGTTGACGAGAGTCCAACTTGGTACTTCGTTGCCTCATCAACTAATTCTTGTTCTTTTCCTCTGAGTGAGGATATGTTCCAATTTCGGACATTAAGCACCCACTGGTGGTGTCGTTTTCGTGGAGCCTTTTCTGACGTGCATCGTGCTGTCTGCCTCCTCCGTTCAGAATGGGTAGCGACTCCATTGCTGTCTGGTATCTTCGTCGTCGTTGCGTCGGTGTTCGTCCGCCGTCGTTGTGCTGCCACGCCCCCAGCTGGCGTAGGGCAATGAGCAGGTTCTGATCTGCGACTTTTCGCAGTCTGCCTCAGTCCCCCAACAGCCTGCGCGGCCCTTGGTAACCCGGGCGACGACCGAGCCGCAGTCTGCCTCAGTCCCCAACAGCCTGCGCGGCCCTTGGTAACCCGGGCGACGACCGAGCCGGTATAATTTTCGATGGGGTCAATACCATGGGTTGCAGGTGACTGAATTTTACGGAGACTTGCCACGGTCTCCAGCCCTCCTCCTTTCTCATCCGGGCTTGGGACCGGCAACGGCGGAGTTGCGGTATGCTTAAACGAACTCTTATTTAACTGTGGGTATTGAGGTAATTTAATAATGCGGGTTCAAATTGACGACGACAAATTTCGATTCTTTCATTTATGCCGTTGCAACCGAAAAATTTCAAACTGACTGCGCATATTATTGAAATGCTGACTGATCAGGTGAACGCTCTCTCTTTTAGTCGTATGATCGATGTTGCATTGAAGCAGGTCGCTGACTTCATAAGGTGTTTCCATAAGCTAACGTGCTGTGTCACATGTTTATCATTCTTTAAAGTTTATTTTCCTATTCCTAGCGGCCTATCTTAACCTTGTCATTGAAAGCGTCTAGCCAGCTTCATAGTTCTATAAAACGTTCTTTTGACGACCAGTTAATCCGTGGTCACCTAGTATGTTGTGGAAATGGAAGATGAGTGACTGACAAACTCATCTTGAAACCGAAGCTGCCAGTTTAATATATCAATTATGAAAAAACGCTTTGCTACTTGAAATGGCATTTCGAAATGTGTTCACATTCAACGATTATACAGCACAGTAGACAATGGGACATGTCATTTCAAATTGTTTTTTTCTGTTTCAATTTTAGTTTGATCCTCAAAATAGCGGTAAGTGGCAGCTGCCCGTAAGTACCCTACGGATGCGAGCAAAACACACCAGGAAAAAGCCGCATTTCGGAATCTCAACCGCAATTTTGTTCCAGCATTCGCTTTTACTCAGTAATTCAGATAAAAATATTCTAGCACCGAGGAACATGCGATGCATAAGAAATTCACTGCGATAGGAAGCCACGATATTAAGGTGCAAAAGCAACAAAAAAGTGCCGTCATCTGTTCAGAAAGCTAACAATCCGATGTGGAACTTTACACTACGTTTATCGTCTCACATTTTTTCGCTCATGATTGTCAGAACAACATGAATGATGCTCATCTCCAATCCCCGACCTTCTTCTTATCTGCATACAAATCAACCAAAGTCCTCTGGGTTTTTTGGTCTAAACCGTGAATGGCATGGTGATAATTCTTTAATGGTTGTTTTAAGCAAATTAGTGCAAACTGCGGCATCAGATTCTTACTTGGGCTGGACTTTAGCCAGACTAAATTGCCAGACAAATCTTTTGCAGGACAAGTTTGCTTTATAGTATGAGGAAAGTTTTATTACTATTTGTATCCCATCCGATTTTTGCTTCGATTTCACACAGCCATTTCAATGTTCTTGACTGGCGTTCACAGCTACCGCAGCAGCTCCAAAGCACATTTTACCGTGGCAATACATGTGGGATACTTCATACTTGTTGGATTGAAAGTACATTGCTGCTTAATCCAGACCGGTAATGAGCGGGTTTTACAGACTGACAACTTAGCTTCGACAAGCTTTAAAGCCAAACCACTTAAACGTTAGGAAATAACTCAGAGATTTAGATATGGAGTTTGACTTAGTAATAATTGATGAACTCGAGGTACTATCGGTTTGGACTGAGCCACAAATCAGTTTCATTCTATATCAGTATGGATTGAATTGTGAATGAACCTTAGTCTATACCAGTATGGACTACTCTATCTGAACATGGACCGATTACCACTCTGGGCGACAGCATATATGCTTCATCCTGTAGCACGATTCCGTATTTTGTCGTACTCGTTCTCTACGATGCGGGCATTGACGCTCGATTTGTGCAGATTCGGTATGAAACAGCGTCACTTTTTACGTAACTGAAATTTTTGACAGTTGACGTTAACAGAATGGAGGTGGGGGGGGAGGGAACGTCCTTACCACAGTGTGTATTCACACACAGCCGCTTACCATATATTACTGGGGTATTTACCAACCATCTGACTAGATGAACATAAAATTAACTTAATCAAAGATGGTACGCAATATTCGAATCTAAAACGGACTAAGAATTATCAAATGGCCTTCACTGAACCAATTTTTACGTTTCCGTATTGTCATTGGTAGTGACGCTGAAATATACTGGGTGGAGAAGTCACGAGCAACATGTTTTGATTTCGAACAACGTCTACATGCAGTAGCTCTCACGAACAGACAGTTCAGAAGCTACACAACAATCATAGGTAGCTCCACCCTCCCTC